TGTGTATTTCTATTCAACTTTCTATTATTCCCCGGCCTAGTTGCTCTCTCTTCTATAAGTTTTATATTATAAGGAGGTATTTATATGTTATGTTGAAAATAACGATAGTTATTACATATGCATCAGGTTTTACCATATGTCGTTGTCATAGTACGAACTAAATGAAATGACTATGTTTTTTAAAAGAAAAATGACTTTCAGTATTTAATATTGATTGTAATCTAGTAATTCTATTAGTTTTCTTAAATCTATCGTCAATTGGCATAATATTGATTACTGTAAGTTGTTTTGATAGATAGTAGGAAAGAAATGTATAGTGCGCAAGAAATCCCATTTTCGAGTCAGGATATTAAAAAGTAAGCTTTGAACTGGCTAATTAAGGGCTTGGAACGTGACGGCAATGGGGCGTCTTACTGAACCGTTGGCGGCCCGGGAGCTCGAATTGTTTGCTCAACGTCTGTGCTTCATTCAGCTTGCTTTTAACGTCTCCTAACTAGAGTCTTTCGAGATCGTTCTTATTTTGATTTTTAACTTTTTACAAACTGATATCATCTTAGTTTCTTCAATACCAATAACTAAACATACGTAACAACTATTGGTGCTTAATGGCAATAATACAAAAGGGCTTGTGTCGTTTTATAGCGGCCATGGTACATTTTGATTTTTTATCAATGTTTTTCATATATTGGTAGATAAGTAATTTTCTTGTCTTAAGTTAGCATGTAAGGTTTTTTTCTCTAAACAAACATTATTAGTTATTGTATTGAAAATCTTTAAAGTTGTATAGATAAGTATTGATTTAATATTGTAATAATATTATATATTCTATTAGTTCACATTTAAATCTTCAAAGCGATAATGATGCTTGATGCTTTCACAATAAGTATTTAGCTTTTTCTTCGTCTCCAAGGCTCTCAGAGATCGAAACGTCACCTAATCTTTCAAGGTGAGTGCAGCGAAAAAATATTATTTTCTCGCGACGTTTGATTACATTCCTTTGCAACATAACATCGTGGCGCGCAATAAGCAATAACAACTTTCCGGGGGTTGGAAAGTTATGGTATTTTAATTAAAATTACAACTCGTTTTTGGGCAGATGGGCAGGGGCACGGCGTACGTGTTTCGTGCACGTGACATCCATCGCAACAAAGTTTATGAGAGCCGGGTTGCCCGCAATAAGATATTCACGCGCGCAATACTAGTACAAGGGCTGTCAGTGTTAACAATTTTATAACTTTAACGTTGAAACAACTCGTGTTTCAACTGTACCAATGTCTGTATTACGTGTGTTTTAACCGAGTTGAATGTTATTAATTTGAATTTGGGTTCACGCGAAAAAGGCTGTGTCGGAACTAATGGGGTTGGATGTAACAATTGTTTGAAATCACGAGTAGTGACGACTTCATTTTATAGTTCGAAGAGCAATAATTTTGGCAGAGATATTTTTATAATTTTATATTCTTATATATATATATAGCTTCATAAGTTTAACCAGCTATTTTGTTAATTACTTAGCGAAATAATACTGACCGGCCGCGTACCTAAATGTTCAATAAGTATTTTTGGAGATTTGTTTAAGGAGAAATCGAAATTCGCCGTAGTGTCGGAGACAAGGGTTCTAATTTAATTTACCTTGAAAAATCCTTTTTTGGCCGCTAAACACTAAATAAAGTACAAAGAGGCTAATTAAAAGTTTATTGAGTACCAACGTTAGAGAAATCTCTCAGTTATATATAGGACTAGAATGAATCGTTGTGTAAATGTTAATATTTAATATACAAATTTATACCTTCGATTTCGCATTTTGCTTCAATGACTAATTTGCTGACATGCTGATGTTAAATAAAATTTTGAAAACAGATTACGACCTACCTAATTTTACTGACTTGTTTGTTGTAACGGTGTTGTTATATATTGTTGTTAAATATTTTCCATTAATATTTTCGGAAGTGTTTTCGTATTGTTTACGGTTCTTTATACGACCATTATGGTGCAGAAACGTAGATATTAAATTATCATCCCCCAATACGTTATTATGCATCTTCTGACCGCCTTCCGCGCCGCGCGTATGGTGCTCCAAGAAAATGAAAGTTACGGAGTCATAGCCGGGCCATTCCGGGATCGCATCAAAATAAATATATTTCGCTGATTCGGAGCGATATTTGCAAGTCTGCCAAGAATATTCGTGGCAAATCGTTTTCCTATAATTGGAGTACATGTGAATTTTGTATTCAGTGGCGCATTCACCGTGTGGATGGAATTCCGCCATTTCGCGAGGCCCCGTCCCTCATAATGCGTGCTTACTGAAGTAATTTGTGTAGCCCGCATGTTCTGTTACGTCTTGGCGCTAACAGCGTCTGGCTTCTCACGGTCATGTTTATGTCCCTCTTGTCTCCCTCATCATTCGTCGAATTACGTTATCACACATGGCACGCACGCATTTGTTATTTGACGTCGACTCGAAAGCAAATAAAAGAAATGATAAAAACCCAAAGAAGAACTCGTGTTTCAAATCCAAATGTATACCCACGTTATTTATCTGCAGCTTCATAAATTATTACGTCTACCCTCAAGAGAATTTGTCAGTTTACCGTCTTTTATAGACAGGACTGCCAGTAAAATAAATTGATCCGCCGGGGCTTGTTCAGCTTTGTCAGTAATCTACAAACAGAATAAACACGATTCTGTAAGTCTGTTTAAAAGTTGAACCTTTTCTAAAAAACGGCGCTTTAATGACGGCAGGGAAATTTTCAATTTTTCGTTAATAATAAATATTGCCCATCTGCGTCGAGGCCTTAATATAATAAAATAATAGAGCGTTTTTGATTTTTGATATAAATATATTAACAACAAAGTTTCATACAAAGCAAATGAGCTTATTACACTTTTCGCTTTAGGATAGGTGGTGCAACTATTAAATAAATGGTAACTGTATTTTAATAATAGCATCAATACTGTTATTGTTTTGGCTCAGTAGCGCGGCTGTTAAACTACTGGCTTATGTTACGGGGGCGTGGGTTCGGTACACAGGAGTGAGCCACAGATAAATTTTCCCAATCGGGGTCTGTATTCTCAAGGAGATTGACGTGTGACAGGCCCCTAGGCGTAAAAACTTAACAAATAGCATTAGCAATATGATTAACATGTTGTGTCGACTGCACACAGGAAAATCTATAGTGCTACTGTTTCATTTATTGGTTACATCCATGTTTTTATTACAATAGGGGAAATTAGTACCTATGTAGCTCGTTTCGCTAATTATAATTTAAAATTCATCGAAATAATTTGTATCATGACGATATTAAACGCTCTCCACCACTCTCACCCGGTTTTAACGCGGTTTATTTGACATATTTAACGCGTTTGATTCGAGGCATAGCAGTTGTGCAATGAACCTAAAAATGTTGCAATATACAGTCGGTTTGTATAAAACCCGCAGACAGAAATTGATGAGCACATTCTCTTAAGCCTCCAACATGCGGCTAAAGCCAGTTTAAATCTATATTGATTTTATAACAATTTATACTACGAGTTCCAGTTGTCAATTATTTATATTGTTTCTTTATAATAGCGATACAATATTTTACCCAGTTAGTTGGTTTATTAGCGATATTTCTGTTTCTTCTTCTTAAGTAGGTTTTTCATTTCGATCAGATCTGATTGAATTAAGAATCCTTTGTACCTAATTATATAGATTCTATAGCGGGCATATAGAATAGCACTAAGATATCTCCTGTCTACCACATAAGGCGCCTAAAAGGGATCTTGGGCTCACAGGTGTCTATGGGGTCCTATTTACCAAGTGATGTGAATCGAGAAAGGTGGGCAATTGTATTGCCACATTCTAAGACTGAGACAGGGTCTATTCTGCCCTGGATGAGCAGAAACTCCACGCAGATGAGCACTGGTGTGTTCCAGTGGAGATCCCGTAGTTCTTGTGAGTATAAGTCTCACATAACCTTCTGTCCCCTTTGACGTTAGTATTTTTTGAAGTTTTCCCCCCCGATACCAAATAACCTCACTGTAAAGTTACTTGTCACATGGATCTGTTTCCTATAAAGGAAAAGCTTGCGAGCTTATATTTTCACTTAAGTTGCGAAAATAAATTCTCTCTAAGCCACGAACACAACTAAAAGCTACTGGAGCTAACGTACATATGGCTTTGTGGAAAAGAAACAAAAACACTTCTAGCACTTCCGATTGTTCGAATTTACCTAATTTTAAAGTGGCTCCCAAAGGAAATTGCCACGGAAAGTGTGGATGGCGTTCGAGGCGGGGCTAATTAGGTAATGTAGTGCCAGAGCTTTGCCAAGAGGGCATAAGTAGTTACGATATTATTATGTCGTTTGGGAACTACAACTGCTAATGCTATTGTTTCGACTGCATCTTTCTGCATTTTAAGTTGTTTCTTCTGTTATAATAATGTAGTATAAAATGTTACCAGACTTCGTATAAATGCAAAAAACTATGGTTTAGTACCTAGAATGTCGAACTTGTGATCAAAGGCCCCATCTTTGAATACTTCAAAAAGTTTGACGTTTCCCGGATTATTGGCGCGTGAATAACACAAACATTTGCGTTTGACGTACGTTGGTCACAATTTAACATAAAACTTGATTTTCGAAAGTGACAGTCACCATCCTGTTGCTTCCGGGATTGAAATGTTAAATTCAGACGAGCAGGTTAAATGTTTAGACAATTATTGACTAAATCTCATAACACAACGCCGTATATAATGCGTATAATTATTTTAACATTCACACGGGGCACCGTTTCGTTTTTCGTACCACAGAGAATTAAATCGTTTTCACCACAGACACAGAACGTGCCTCACGCTCGCGGGCAGTACCTTGAATTTATCGCAAAAAAAAAACATCAACGCGTATGTGTGCATTGCCCATCTACAAGTATAACCTCTTTCGCGCGTTCGCAACAATTGAATTGCAGACACTGCAGTGCGCGGACGTAACGGGGTTCGCTTTCGTCGGCCGCGGCAGGTAATGTATGCGGAATTATTATTTGGGGAGGGACGGTCGGGCGGTGACATAGCTCGGGGCTATCAGAATCACGCTCGGCTGGCCACGAGCACCGCAGACGTCGCGCCGCCCGCATACACCTTCAATGCCACCTATGTACGTGTTGGGGAACGTAATTCCATACATCAAAATTAGCTTAACACTATCCTCCATATTTTGTGTAGAACAAAGGATAATGAACTTGAATATGAACAAAGGGTTTGTTGGGCATTAAACATAGTAGGCTTTTAATTTCTTAAAATAATGATATAATTACACCTTCCACTTTACGTAAACAGACGATTACAAGAGCATTTCGAACTAAAAGCATATTTATGTAAACCCTCCTGTTTCTTTGTGTAGTAGGTAGAGTTAGTTTGTTACATCTACTCAAGAATGCTCAATGGTTAGTATTCTATGCTCACAACTCCACCTGAGATATATCCAGTAGATATATTCAGTACAATAGTTGAATAGATTTTTTACTAAAAGCCGTTTACCATACTTTAATCAAAACCCGAATGAAATAAAATTATTTGCTTTAGGTTACAACAGATTACGATAGGGAAGAATATAAGATTTATCTAAATACGATTTTTTTTACTAAACTTAGTATCTGTCATATTTTAAAACTAAAATATTAACTGAACAATTATTAACCAGTATATTTTGAAGAACGTCAAGGCTTTGGGTGACAGCGACCCAAAAGCTCATTTCACGGTAGTCGCACTCATATTTTGCACTTCAAAGTGTCTTAACTTATAAGTAGGTACAGCTCCGTTCATTCGGCTAAATTTAAAACGCCTTTGTTCCAACCGTAATAAAGTGCAATTTTGTGTGTTATAGGTTTGTGGTGGTATTTTAATACGTAAGCTAGTGTCTCCGTAAGGTATGCTTGCATATAACTTTGGGCGAGAAATGAATCCTTACCATAACAAAAGTGGTTAAAAAATAAATAATTGCTCGGTAAAAACTGCGAGGCCCTTTGGTATGCAGTTTCCGATACTTCATTTTGAAGCATTTCGTTGTAATATAATCAGTAGATTAAAAAACAATGCATAGTTAAAGGATTGATAGTAAAGTTTCGCGATTAATTTTCTATGCAAACATATTACTTCTTATTTGCAACACATACTCAAACGGAATATTTTGTCTTAATTTTTCTGAAGATTTAATCTTGTAAATATTAGATCAATAAAGATTGTCCTTATGAAAATAAAAAAAAAAAAATTCTGAAACATAATATAATATATGCTTTGATAATTTCAGAAAGTAAACAGGAGATCCAAATACAATAGCATATTATTTTCTTTGTCACAACTTCTCTCAAATATCTACCCTATTCGTGCATGTGATATCGTTCGTTTTTTTTTACTTCCCGAAGCACATATTTTAAGCCTTATTGAAAACTTCCCTAATAGACTTTAGTGATTTCTTCATTTGGAAATTCCTATTCCCATATTCACTGCGCCATTAATCTTCCAAATTTTTTTCATTCGACTTAGTACGTTCTTTGGTTATTAACATCCAAGCAGTACAATATTAATTTATTTATCTTTATTACTATATTTACGGCGCGAAGTACATTAGTATCTAAATTCATGCTAAATAAAAGTGTATGTAATACTAAATATCGTTCTGACGTAAGGATTTCATGGCTTACTACTTTGTATTTGGGGTACGGTAGATTAGGCGAGCTTATCTCCCCTTTTTAGCCAGTAACATGGCGTCTCCTGTACAGTGCACCTTTGGCAGAGTAACAGATATGATTTTATGATCAAAATGTCGCTCAGGCGGAAAATAAACAAGGGGAAAATTCTATCGTGGATGCGACGTGATTGCGATGATTGGATAATAAAATAGTTATCTCGCCCATTTATTCACAGAATAACTTGCGTTAGGATATATATTATGATACCTTTTATCCATTTCGGCATTTTCATATGTAAGAGGTAGTATTTACCTTCACATCAAGTGAGAATAGCCGATAGACATGATGCATTCGCGTGGTGTTGTATACTTTTAAAAAATCAATAAAAACAAAGTAGACAATATGTTTAGCTTAGTGGCCAGAACGTCTGGAAGCGTAACCTGGAAGGCTAAGGGACCCTGGTAGTGAGGAAAAATATTCGTCAGTTTTACCTACACATTTATAAAATCCCGTACATTATTCCGATCCGCGGCCATGACTAATAGACACGTACGAATCGAGATCCATCTTCAAACTAGTTGACGACGCTTTGCTGTCTCCCGCGGCTAGTGAGGGGCGGAATGCAAATGAGGGAGCGGGGCACGTTTGTTGATTTAATCAACAAGGCCGAATCCTCCGACACCTCTGGGCTGACGGTCCACTCGGCGCCCGCTGACCTACATCGCTTTGGCACCCGCAATCGCCGCTTCAACTTAATTGTCCCGACACTCGGGCCTCCTAACGACTGCGCCGCAATCGCTCGGTCCGAGGGGCGCTGAATATTGTGGCAGCCGGCCGTCGAGTGCCAACCGACCGGATAGCTACACCGAAAATCGAGTCAATTATCACCGCAGGAAAATTAACGCCGACGGCGGCTTTGTTCGCGCTCCGCAAGCCGTCCGTTGCCTTTAACGACCGAAATAGAATAAAAATACAACACATTGAACGGATGGCATGTTCCTGTGTACATAGTATAATGAAAGGGGGGATTACAATTTGCCTTTGTGACGGCTTCGTCCAATTACATTAATCTGGCGTACCCGTGCCGTGGCGGCGCCGCCGCAAGCAACTTGATTAAAAATTCTATTAGTTGAAAGGCGCAGACATCTTCTTAATAAATAAAGTGCACCTCACTATGTTCTACGGGCTTATTGTTGTGACGTCAATAACATTATTATAGCCCTAACTAGGTTGTTAGGAGTAGTAGAAAACTTATAATTGAGTATTAAATTGCATTATAGAATAATAATCCACCGGCATAATATTTATTCTAACACTGCCTTTTAGATGTGAAGCATCTCAGATATGGTCCACAACAAAATAATGAAAATTTTATCGATGAAAACTGCACAAAAATACTGCTCTGTAAACACGAACGTTCCGACGATGGAATAGAACACAATGCCAAATTCTTTTCTAATACTCAAACTGTCGCAATATTTCAACACGCGTTGAGAATTCAAACAACACGATTTAAAGACAAATACGCGAATCCTTAATACTATGTACGGATGCGTACTGGCGAAAATTGAATTCGGTTTGTTTTAGTGAACACTAGACTAGACGCAATCGAAAAAGGACATCGGCGCGCGCGGTCACCATAAATCAACGTGGAAGCTGGAGTGGTTGAAAAAGGAAGTAGACATAACCCGTAGACTGCCGCATCTGTGTGGAGGTGGTCGCAACTCGGACAGATTTACGCGAGCACTGCTGCCGTATCAACTGGATCTCGCTACGCAAGCTAGAATTGCGAGCCATCGAAATTTCCACAAAGGAACGACTATTTAGGGTGCAATTTAGCGCCAGAAATTCGCCGCAGTTAGGAATTTTCAGCGCGCCTCTCGTACCGGGCAACGGCGAATGTTTATCGGAAATGTAAGTAGAATGTCAGTACACTTCCCTGGACGGCGCCGATACACGTAAGCTCTCCGGGAGGTATGAAGGAATTTTTAAACATTTATTGCAGCTTACGAATAGTGTGATAGTTTAGAAAAATAGAAAAATCGTTTTAATAATTGAAAAAATAGATTTGCTATATGATGTATACATATGTATATTATATGTAGGTTATTCAAATTTTATGATTATTTACATCGTTTACAAATTTACTCTTTTCTTATATGAAATCTTTATAACAATCGATACTAATAATCATTACAAAACGTCTAATTACATGATTATACGTTTTTGTATGTACAAAACACAAAACAAAAATGAGTGATATCAAAAACTTATATTAGTAGTATAGACAGTAAAACTTATAGTAGTAGCTATTCATGCATGAACATATTAAAGTTATAATAAAGACAATTAGTTGATGAGCAGAGTATCGGTAAATAATCTATTATGTAATACAGCTTTAAAACTGAGGCACCGTTTATAAACCTATATAAATCGTTCATTAGCATCAATTATATCCTAACGAAACTGCAACTCTGCTTAAATGGAACGGTGATTGCGAGGCGAAAATGTCTGCTGCAAATAAAACAAATAAGGCGTTTAGTTTCAAAACATCTGCCGTTTGTGCGCACATCGAGTATAATGTTAACTAACACTCGCATTGTCTTGTTGGAATGTTCGGGCCATTTCTGCGAAACTAGCTTGCGCGCGGACGTCGTTTAGCCGTTGTTGACTCTCAATTAGCTACGATAAAAAAAATATTTTATAGAATTCGTACGTGTTCTCCGAACAAAGAGCAGTTTGGCGGTATGGAAAGCGTTACAGCATGAAACAGCGGATACAATATGATCTTTAATGCTGAAATTTCGTTAAGAAATTATTTATCATTACATCGGCTGAGTAATTCAATAGTGTATGTTTTAAATTTACATTTAAGATAGTAATTATCTTTTCGTGGCCTACGAATTATGTGCGATTGATCGAGCGCGGTGCTTGAAATTCAGAAACGAAGTGTACGTGTGGCCTCAGTAAGTTTTCCGCGTACAGCGCGTCGCGGTACAAAATTGGTGTATCAAACGAACACGCGTGATTTGTGCAATTCCCACGAAAAAGAATTTCAATTTCGTCCGCCCATAACGTCGGCAGAAAGCGGTTATAAAACTTATTAAAATTCCGCAATCACATCGCCGTACGAAAACGTTCCTGACGGAGGCGGGCGGGCGGCGTGCTTTGTGCTCCAACGTGAGCGTTCAGCCTCGCCAGTTTACTTGTTGCGGTATTTAACAGCCCGATGATATCTGCATAATGCGGCCGTCAGTGCCAGCATCGCGATGCTCTCCCTCGTTATTATGAATTTACATGTTAACGGCGTCCGTGATGCTGCTTATTTAGTTGATATTAATTTGTTGTCAAATCTGTTATGGATGTTACTTTCACGGCTCGACAATACAGTTACTAAGCTCTATATACATGAAAGGTAGGATGCGTTTGTGAACTTTATTAACAATGACGTAAAGGTAACTAAGAACAACATATAACTAGGATTTTATAAGATTCCTTGTTTATGAAAGTACATTTAATATTTATTGTGAAAAATACTGGATACACTCAAGGAACTTTGAAAATCATTAAAACTCCCTGTGAAAAAAAAAAAAAATAAACTGTGGCACTGGGGAACTGCTGGGGTAAAGCTATTGCATAGCATTTTAATGCAGTATTTTTTTTTCTTTGATATCAATTCAAGTTACACTTTTTGAGCGTGCTGAACGATAAGAAAACAATTTTTTTTTCTTTTATTGTGAATGAATAAGTCGTTAATATAGTTTAAAATATTTTTATTATCTTACAATACATGTAGGTTATTCAGGAATTTTTATCATTGAAACTATAGGTTTATGGTACCGGAAATAAGAAACATAAGTTTGAAACCTCATATCCTCTAAATGTTATATTATCATAATATGATAATATAATATTATAAGATCCATCCGTGCGAGCTTCGTACAATCGTACCATATACATACACGTTAAAGGAACTACATGGTAGGCGGAGTGGGGGGTGTTAGGTTTTATTTTCGTTACGGAATTTTTTGATTCGGTCGCCGCGCTCCAAGCCCGCGATAAGCTGTGCAATGGCTTAAAATTTCGCGGTAGCAACTGTTTGCTATAATAATTAACATAGAGAACTTTAAATGATATATTAAAATGATATAAGGTAGATAGGAGTTTCACCTTCTTTTATCCATATTAATTATGTCATCGGCCGGGTAGGTTATTGGTGGAAAATCTAATAATTACTGTCCATATTGGAAGATAACATCTTAAAAGCTTCGAACACCTTTTGACTACGTCTTATTGAAATTAACATATTTTTATCTTTCTAATAGAGGTAAAGCTTTAGAAAAGCTGCTTAGTGAGTACTCTCATTTAGGTTTAAAGGCAAGTGGACGGTTATTCCTTGCTTTACAATAATTGAGATAAGGTCCTTCGATGAGCCTCGGCCAGTTATTTGAAGCCATATTAACATTGAATGTTTTTTGACTTTTGTAGCACGGCTAGTATTTAGTTTGGTTATTTTCTTATAATATTTATATGAGAATCAAGTCACACGCTGTACTTTTAGGAATGTCACGTTTTTCTCAATTTTCTAAATAATATAAGTAATACAATTATTAGTTGAACGTACTTAAATTGCGAGAGGATTTTTTCATTTGTTTACTATACCAGGTGTTATTTGAGAATCGTTTTTAGTCTGTGTGAAAAAGATAAATAACAATTCTTGTCAAACAGATGACCTTTTTTTGTTACAACTAAGTAACATATAAAAGACTAGCTTTTCGTCCGAGGCTTCGCTCGCGTTGAAGCCCCTAAATAAATATCTTTCTTTAAAAAAAATCCAATAAAATAGCCTACTCATGTCCTTTCTCAGGCTCTAGATTATCTGTGTACCAAATTTCATTTAAATCGGTTCAGTAGTTTTGACGTGAAAGCGAGACAGACAGACAGAGTTACTTTCGCATTTATAATATTAGTATGGATTTAGGTTATGGACAGTAAAATTCTTTATATATATAATACAATTAATTGTTTCATTTTCCCTATTCAGGATCAAGTTAAACGCGATCCCTGTCCAGCTACATTTTTGAGTTTCTTTTCTTCCCTTTAGGTTCGATGGCGTCCCGTTGGTACACGCTCCGCAGAGGGATGAAAAGTTGCTACCACGTACTTATTAATTAGGGGGGCGCAACACGCGTGCTCCGTTCGTGCTTCATATAAAACGTTGTGAACAGTTCGTTAGATATTCAAACAATGACTTCATTAGCGCCGTAATCGATGTGGCATTCGACCACGCGCGCGCATTACTGCAAAATTTAAACGCGTTCCATCAAACGCTTACCACTGTTCAAATGTTTCGATATAGCTCAATGTAATGAATAAAACCCTGTCAACAATGCGATCATTTTTGATGCTATACTTCTTTTATCGCGTTTGGAAAATAAGAGTAAAATTTTTACGATGCACGCGCACACCGACACCGACATGATGACGTTGTTTGTAAAGCGACGGTATTACCATGGCAACCAACAATAACTTTTTGACATTTACATTGTCTTACTTCATCATGACCTACAATTCTCTATTTTTTCTCTTTTTTACTTAATTAAACATTTATCTATTGCAATCAATGCCTTTTATACAAACAAAGAGTTCTGACTGGTACAGGGGATAAAATTTTCAGTTGTTTCTTTTCTTCCGCTAAAGAAGTATAACTTCTAACGTGCGTACATAAGTACACACATAATTTTGTTTGTTTTTCCTTTTTATGTGGGAAGGTGATAAGCGAGCTGGCGGTTCATCTAATGTTAAGAGATAACCGCTGCCCATTGACACCTGCAACACCAGGAGGGTGTCAGATGCGTTGCCACCTTTTAATGAAGTGGGCCCCGGTCACCTCACTCAACAGATGAAACGCACTAGTATACACTTCCACTTCACGCCGGTTTCTTCGCTGTGAAGCCTAATATTTTGTGAAACTAATTTTTAGATCTGAGTTAACATTAAATTAAATATCGTCGATGAAATATTGATTTTTGCGCTTAAATCAATTTTAAATTTTCGAAATTTTACTATTCCATAATTTAATTGACACCCGAAAAAATCTGTAAAAGAACTTTTATTTATTAATATAGTCAGTGTCAGAAGCCACTGTAGTCACAGTTAAGTCATTAATCTAGAATCCAGTCAAAATTGTCCATAAATAACAAAAAGGCGAACAATTAAATTTAAGCTATTCGTATTATTGGTATAGATTTGAGTAGTGTTATACAAACATGGGACGGAAAAGATCGCGGTCACGTAAAGTGGCGTGCGCGGCGGCTGCACCTGCCAATAATCACGGGCCGACGTAACAACCGTCATAATTACCCGCCGAGTGAAATTGCAACCGGCAACGGGTTGTTTTCGTGGAAAATATTTATCAGCGGCGCCGGATCTACCGCTGTTCTTGTGCGCCGCGTTATTCGTGAATGTTCTACTGCGTGGCTTCTGGCGGTAGCGTTCGTAGTTTTGGAATTTTTAAAGCACGTCATGCATTCGGATACAATGGTGATCTAGGGGCTGGGTTTCAAATGTAATTCATCATCATCATTTCAGCCTGTTTGAGAGCTCCCCAACAGACTACGAACAATGATATTACACAAATACGAGATAGGTATGACACTAGCATATCGAAACTGAGGCACTCAGATTACGCCAATTGTTGTAATTAGATTGCAATTTTATAGACTGCCGTTCACTTATTTTTTATTTTTACAAACTTTCTTATCATGTAGAGCGGAAAAAATTTCAAATTCCACGCAGCATGGACATGCGTCATCTTTATTAAAATATCACATTGGCAACGAAGCACAATCCTGAGCTTCTTGCATTCGTCAACGCACACTTGCACAGATCGACACTCATTCATCTAGTACGGGTCGTCCTACACTATGATCTTATCCTTTAAACGAGCAATTCTTGTATATATATATATATATATATATATATATATATATAATCGGAATCTCGAAAACGGCTCCAGCGATTTTCATGAAATTTAGTATGTGCATAGATTCGGGGGCGAAAAATCGATCTAGCTAGGTTTCATTTTTAGAAAATATATACATTTTTAGAAAATGTCCTTTTATCCCTGTTTTCAGGGAATGAAAAATATAACTCGAATATGACGGTAAATTTCGCCGCAAGAGAAAATGTCATAATCGGGCGGCCCCAAAACAGACGGCCGTGGTTCGCGTCACGATCATTTACACTTTTATTTTTTTACTTTTTTTTTAGATTCCAGATCATTGCTTTCTTTATTTTTAATTTTTTGTCGATTTGTTATTTTGTTATTTTTTTCCCTTTTTTTTAAAGTTCTTTCTTTTGTGAAAAACATCAGTTCATATTTTCTTATTATTACGTCGGTAAGATCGAAAAATATTATGCATATTTCATTACTCAGTAATTTGTATCTAAATGTAATTTCCAAAATACACGATTTACCAAAAAAAAAAAACAAACCGAGCAAAGCTCGTTCCTCCGGGTACTATACAATTATATCTCGATGGTTACAAGTTCTTGTCTCGCGTGTTTCTTAAATACTGTATGATATTACCTCGATAGATTTAGTGTGTAGCTTTTAATATACTGCTCAGTTATGATCTGTGCATTTCCCATCAATTTCATTTGCTGAAATTATAACCTAAATAGGTATGGAGTTCCCAAAGGGAAAAAAGTAAAGTAACAGCCTATACATATCCCACTGCTGGGCAAAGGCCTCCTCTTTTTTATAGAGGGTATCAGGACGTAGTCCACCACGCGGCCCCACTGCGGATATGCGAACTTCACATATCTTCGAAATGTTTTTTTTGTTATTTCAAAAATATGCAGGTTTCCTCACGATGTTTTTCTTCACCGTTGAGCGTGTGATAAAGTCAGCACTTTAAATTAACAATTTCATTGGTGCTGGCACTGGGGATTGAACTTAGGTTGCTCGAGTATATTGAATTGAAGGCGAGCGCCCGGACACTGTGTTATCACGGCTCTGTGAGAGGGAAAGACAGACTATTTTTTAAATTTGTTTCAGATGACAACAATGCAATCAGCAAAGATCAGATTATTCAGATTTTTCAAATTTTGACTTAATTTCATTTATACCTTGTCATTTATATAGATAGAAATTTGCGATGTACATTTTCGAATATCAACGTATATAGTGTAGTAAAGCAATGTATAAAGTTATACTTAGTTACATAAATTTATAAAAATAAAGAAAAGTAACAGGCTGTATATGTGTCACTGCTGGGTAAAGGCCTCCTCTGTACAGAGGGTATTACATACGTTCATCCAACAAATAGCAATTTTTTATAAATATTTTAAAAAGAACGGGTTATTTTTTATATTTTAATAGACGTTAGGTACGTTGAGTAATAACATCATTTCAATGATGGATACATGGAATACAGAGACTAGTTTGTGTTTCAAAATTCCATTTCCAATAAGTACAGAGATATTCTATGTAAAAAGTATTACACTATATTGTTACTCTGACAATATGTATACGTACTTAGAATTATTGACCCAGGTAAAGACAATAAATAAATAAATAATAAATAAATATTTTTAGCAGATAATTTTACACAACGGTCTCTATTCCCAATACATAATAATATAACAATATTTTTCCAGTAATGGGGATCGAACCCACAACCTTTGGCGCAGGAGGCAGGTACACTACCCACTACGCCATTCTGGTCAGTATGGGTAATTCGGGTAATAAGCTCGCGGCTTGTTATTAAAAGCTGCACTTACTTAATCTGATCAATCAATTTATCTTCTGTTGCTATATTCACTTCCTAAAGAGCGTTCAAATTCGTCAAATCATAAATTTCGTTCTCTTTAATAAGTTATGTGCAAAAATCTTAAAACGTTTTTAATATTTTTACCATTATTTAGAATGAATTTCAGAGAATGTTGGCGAAACAAAGTGTATTATTCGTTTTAGCATTTTGGCTTAAGTAAATTAAATTATTCAGTCACTATACATATTACATAGATAAAATTCAAGACTGATCTGACTACGAACGTGTTGAAAAATCAAAAATTTTAAATATCAAAATCTAGCCTAAGTAAATCGTGAACTCTTAATTAATACACGTTCTAGTTTGGAAATATCTTTGGCCTACTTCTGTGCGGGGAGACAAATAGACAATTTTACATACGATATCATTTCGGAATGACAATAGAGATGAAACTTAATATTTTATTTTGTTTTTGCAACCACTCATGGTTAAATTATAAAAAAGATATAGGTTTGAATCTGTGATATATGCCTTTTTTATGATTTAAATAACATGAAGCCTTTGTGAGCACATTACATCAGGGATAATAAAAAGTCTTTACATTAGTAACAAAATTTTCGTCTTGGTTCAGAAGTTTTGATGATTATGTTTCTAGAGTGTAGTATACAGATGCTATTTTTATAATAGGATAGATTTATAGCAGCACCGATGCAAATTTTTCGATTTTTTAGCCCTTTCTTATGACTTGATATGAAAATATTGAAATTTTTTGCTTACTGTCTAGCTAATCATAACCTTTATTTCCCGTGCTTAGGAAAAACATATCTTAATAAATTATAAAAAAATATCAGAAATTCAGTATTTCTACGGTATAAACTCTAACTAACACAGATTGTGTAAAATATTTTGGTGTTGTAACCAATGCTTTTGTATATAAAAAAAAAGTCGTTCAAATGAAGTATAATTATTTTTTTTTCTTTACAGATCACATACGGGAGTTTTCATGTGGTAATCTGTTTTATCGCACATTATACATGAATGAGGACAGGAATACGCTTTACGTGGGTGCCATGTAAGTGACATTTGCTACTGCAGTATATTTCATTATAAGTTCATAACTATTGCTGCTTTCTTAATGAAGTTACATCACATACATCATAAGTACACGAAAAGAATACAAGATATTTGTTTTTCGAAACATTCAAAAAATATCTTAAGTCATATCTTCAGGAAAAATAAAATTTGCATTTTTTTTAAATGTCTGAACTTTTTTGCCATGTAAAAGGACAAAAGCATTTCAGCAAGATGGTTGCTTGTGAAAAAGCACGCTTTCTGTAGTTGGTATATTTTGCTAAAGTCGGAATATATTCGAGCATACTACTTTAAGGTTTGTTGTTGATGTGTGTGTGTTATACATTCTTGTACTATACATTTGCTTTTTACTGTGAGGAAGTATGCTATTTGAATTTAATATATATTAGTATAGCTTTGGCTTATATTGTTACTTTGATAAATACACTAAAGAATAATAAAATGGAAAATATAAAAAATACATTTCCTTTTTAATTGGCATATACGCAAATCCATTGTTTATATCCATTATTGACTACACATTTAAGGCACTCGTAACTGTAATTTAACGTTCGCGTTTCACAAGCCGTCTTAGTTTTCTTTTTGAATAACTTGAGTAGAGCAACGAGGAATAGCGTTCCGAATGCTTGCACCAATTACAACCACCTCTCTATTTATAACATCGACAATCGCAATGGCCATTACGATTGTGGAAGAAATTGCGCCATAATTATTCATTAAACATATTATTAGGCACGGGCCTACGGTGGAACGGAGCGTTTGTGCTATTCAACGACGCAGTAATGATTTGCCTACCTCGGGGAAATGGGACCGAGACATGAAAGTCAATTATCCGCAATCTCTGTCAATTTTATTTGTTCTGTACTGTGAAAAGTCACGTAGAATTGTACACGATATGATTTCTGCTGTCTGCTCGCAATAGCTCACAGTATTTTGCTAATAATAGCGCAGGCATTGTAGTATTCTACACTATTACTTCTTTGACAAACTATTAAATTATCCTATTGTCCAATTTACGTTATGGCCTAGTATTTTAAAGGCAATTGATATACAGACTGATTTAATGATGTAAAATGGTGAAACATGTTGATAGTGACACAAAAACAATCTAAATGGAAGTATTTAGTAAGAACTATATTATTATAAACGTAACTACCTAATACGATCCCAAAACAAATTGTTTTAACGAACTTATTTTAATAACTAAATATAACAAAATTGTAAAAATTTAATATAAACAGTAAACATAAAAGGTACATTTATCGATAAATACGAAGGTAGTTAGTTTATTGAAGTTTCTAAGGTCGACGAAAGATTTCATGCTTTCCTAATGTAGTAGGCACCGATGATGAAAAGTCATTTTTATGTCAAGTAGAAACAGTTCGGAGGCAGCGTTCAGCAAATGGAATTGGAACGCTCTCAACAAACACTTTCAAGCTATCGATCGGCCCCGGCTACTGATCACCACTAGCCTGTATTTTGTGTTCACGTTAAATTTGCTCCATTGAATGCAAACAATTCACGCGAGAATACACAAAATACTGTAGACTAGCACGGATGCATTGCTAACGGCTTATATTAATTATACCGCTATAATTCTAAAAATAGCTCGTGACAATTAGCAATTTGCCTCAATCCTGCTAGGGACTATAACTCCTAATGGGAGAGCTAGTACGCATTCGGTTATTCTCGTCACTAAACTAAATTTCATTTCCTCTGCTTTTGTTACAGGGATCGAATATTCAAACTGAATATGACGGACATTAGCCAGTCGCATTGTGAGGTTAGTATAACTCAGACACCGTAAATATAAATAGAAGTGAACCGCGCGTAGGGACTATTTCATAACGAAGATAAAAAGCCCGTTAACGCTTGCTAAGTTTTAATGAACGCCACTCTTTCTTTAGCGTGCACGTGGTTTTTTAACGCATCTCTACTCCGCACGAGTTTTTATAAAAGTAATTTCACTTTAAAGGAAAAAACACTTACAATTACGCGGCAGCTTGAGCCCGGTGCACTTAAACGTATACAAAGCAACAGATTCTGCAAGAGGCTTTAAAATTGTAACTAATAATTCCTTTTTCTTGCTCTCTCGAAGAAATTTTGATAGCATTCGATGAAGCATCGAGGATATATTATGTTGTATAAATATTATGTCTGTTCGTGATTTGAAAATCTTAATTAGCTCTTGGTATTTATAGGAAGTATCATTTTAACTTGTTTTCAAATTTTTCTACAAATTGATGTTAACATTGCGAATTTTTTAAAATTTATAAATTGACAAAATCTTGCGAATTAAACTACCTTTCTATGAAGACAAGTTCGGATTTAATCTTTAACTGAGTCTTAAACACAATGCGCTCCGTTAATAATCAAAGCTTTAGTCTGCTTACAAGGTGAGTACGTTTGGAGCGGATAATCATTTTCTTCACTTGGTGTCTTTTAGCGGGATGCTTTGCTCCTAGAAGCGAGTAATGTGGCGCGTTGTGTGAGCAAAGGGAAGTCGGAGCCGTTCGAGTGCAGGAACCACATTCGAGTGCTCCAGCCACTCGGCGACGGGGAGCGATTGTACGTGTGTGGCACTAACGCACACAGCCCTAAAGACTGGGTCGTTTATGTAAGTGTCATAAATATTGTTTTTTTATGTGACAAGTCTTCAAGCGAGCAGGCGGTTCATCTGATGTTAAGTGAATACCGCCGCCCATGGACATTTGCTACACCCGAGGGTTGCAGAAAGAAGCATTGACAACCTTTTGAAAATTGGGCTCCGGCTACCTCACTCACCAGATGAAACGCGAAAGTATTGTACTTCCACTTTTCGCCGGTCCTCTGTGAGGTCGTGGTAATTACCTGGACGAGCCTGTCCATTCGTGCAACAGCCGAGGCTGCTGCTCGACCCTACCACCGTTTAGCGCAATTCACTCTATTAGTAAAAAAATAATAATAAGACTAATTAGTGTGTTCTCAATCCAGCTTAGAATGGTTGAGATATATTGTTATTCCTTTAATTGAATGCAAGTAAGCTAAAAGAAAAAAATAAATGCTATAAAAAGAAGTATTAGTATTAAAATTTGTAAAAAGTAATTTTCTAAAAAGTAATGTTGTAACAAAAAAACAATAACGTTGTAATAGTAATCTAATATTAGTATTCAACACTAGAGTTATTGTCGAAGTTACTTTATTTTTCTTTCGAATTTTTCTTTCGAATCTACTTTCAAGTCAAAATGCAATAGATATCCCTAAAAACGTAATTCTTAATAAAATCTTTTTAAATTCTAGAATGTCTACGTGCATAAGAAAACCATTTGAAAACATGCGTAGAATCAGAGTGATGTTATTTTAATAGTTAGAGGGCTATTAAAAATTTGTTATTTTTTCTTGAACATGTGTTTGGTTTTGTAAGAATTAATATCTACTTTGTTTTTATTACCGGCACGGAATACATTTACGTACGATGTGAAGCGCTATTGCGGTAGTGTAAGATAACAAATGAGTTTTGTTTATCTTTTCTAACCCTCACCTGGAATAAGACCGCAGCGGTACACGCCGGACTAAACTTGTTATGGAAGTGGTCAGACGCCTTGCTCGCTAACCGCCTGTTTAGCTTTTGGTGTATTACAAATACGGATTTAAAATTTCCATGTTGTTTCAATTATATAAATATAATAGAATGTTCTTTAACAGTTTAGAAATTAGAAATCTACCATCCGTTTCCAATAGTTGGTAAGAAACTTAAGTAATAAATTTATTATGCAGTTAAATTTAACACACCTTCCTCGTCACGAGTACGTGCCAGGGGTGGGCCTTGGTGTGGCCAAATGCCCCTATGACCCGGCGGATAATAGCACGGCCGTGTGGGTCACTGAGGGCAACCCTGGCGGGCTGCCAGCATTATATGCTGGAACCAACGCCGAGTTCACCAAAGCGGATCCAGTCATTTTCCGCAACGACCTCTTCGATTTCCGGACCGGACAAAAGAGGTTTAATTTCAAAAGGACGTTGAAATACGATTCAAAATGGTTGGATAGTGAGTACTCACATTTACATACATACGCTTTAAAAAAACAGTTATTCGTTGCAAAATTTGATAATAGCTGGTGTTAAGTTTATTGAATAAAATTTTTACATATAACCATAACTGCTAGTTTCATTCATATTGTGATTTGTGCTGTTTTAGAAACAAATTTCGTTGGTTCTTTTGACGTCGGCGAGTACGTTCTATTATTTTTTCGTGAAACCGCGGTGGAATTCATGAACTGTGGAAAGGCGGTGTACTCTAGGGTAGCTCGGGTTTGCAAACAAGATACCGGGGGGAAGCACATACTTAGCCAGAACTGGGCCACTTATTTGAAAGCGAGGCTCAACTGCAGCATACCTGGAGAGTTCCCGTTCTATTTTGATGAAATACGTAAGTTCCAAATTATTTAAATTTGGTTCATTACCCGTAGAGTTACCATATGTGTTGAAGTTAATTATTATTTTAACGAATTCTATAATTTTTTAACAGTTGTTTGAAAGTAAAATGTCTATTTTAACAAAAATAAGTAGGTAAATGTTTTTGTGTTACTTACTACATGTCATATCCTATTATGTTCATATTTACAAAATGTAGATAACATTTTCACTATGATATTAAGTAATAAAAGATGATGACCACGAATATGTTACTCGAAGTTTCGAGGTTATGTTAAAACAATTTATACGAGTGTTTATATTTGTGTTCTTTTGTTCCGCCACAGAGAGTGTCTATCAAATGCCGGGCGATACCACTCGATTCTATGCGGCTTTCACGACGGGTGCAAGTGATGGTTTGGTCGGTTCGGCTATTTGCACTTACACTATGGAAGACATACAGGAGGCGTTTGCTGGCCGCTTTAAGGAGCAGGTTAATGAAATTACTGTCTATACACCAGAAAGTTTGGTTAAATATCTTGCCTTATATTAGTTTTGTGATAGATCCTGTTTGAATTAGCTTGAGTGAATTATGCGTTTGACTTATGAGGCAAAATGGTGTTGGCACCAATGAAATTGTTAGGTGCTGACTTACCGCCTGTTCGCCAATGAGGGAAAACATCGCGAGGAAACCTGCATATTTTCGATATAAAATCAAAAATATTTGGAAGCTGTGTGTGTGTGAGTAGTGAAGACTGTTAATCCGCAGTGGGGTTGCGTACAGAGAAGGCCTTTGCCCAAAAATGGGACAAATATAGGCTATTACTTACTTAATGGAACATTAACAGCTTCTGCTGGTTTATGCGGCTCTCGAATTTATTTTTGATTTAAAAAAAACATTGCCGTTACTGGAAGATTATATTATTATTTGTTGTACAGACATTTTTCATACACAACTTTTCATGTGATCGAACAAATACTTGTCTTGTGCGGGAATCGAATCCACGACCCAGGCCAATAGCTTAGAAACGGCGCCAACAAAGTCATCCATTATTTGTAAAGAACATTCAAACTAGGCAACTTTAACTGTGAATGTGGTTAGGCCACGCAACAGTCTTCTCTTTTGCACTGATGGGTAGGTCCGTCCCGGTAAGTACCACGACCTCACAAAAGAGCGGCGTGAAGTGGAAGAGTTACACTTCTGCGTTTCGTAACCAGACGAAAGCGTTCTTTATTAAAAGGTTGCAACGCATCTGTAACCCTACGCGTGTTGCAAATATTAATGGGCGGCACTTATCATTTAACATCAAATGAACCGCTAGGTTGCTTGCTAAATTCTCACATAGAAAAAATATTTTCTGTGCTTCATGTAAACAAAATTTGAATTTAAGAGGATTAAAACTTGTGACAGTTTAGTGCTTTGTTAATAGGGTTCATTCATTGTTTAGGCAACCTCAAGCTCGGCGTGGCTGCCGGTACTAAGGGCTAGGGTGCCTGAACCTCGCCCGGGTACTTGCGTCAACAACACAGAGGCGCTGCCGGACAACGTGCTTAACTTTATAAGGTCAAACTTTGACTTATCTTTTTAAAATTTTAATGAGGATTTTTGAGGTTGTCCACATATTTTCGGACAAATGCAACTCCATCTGAGAGGTTACATAGTCGTAGATATTTATAAGTTCTTTATAAATATTTTCTAAAAATTCTTTAACGACCCGAATGGCGTAGTGGGTAGTGTACCTGCATTTGCGCCAGAGGGTGTGGGTTCGATCCCCACGATTTGAAAAATATTGTGTGATGAACATAGTGTTTTTCTAGTGTCTGTGATTTTTGTATGTATCATATGTATTTATTTACAGAAGAAAAGTATGTTTATGTATGTTTATCATTTATCTAGTACCCATAGTACAAGCGTTGCTTAGTTTGGGACTAGAGAAAGTTGTGTAGAAATGTGTCTTAAAATATTTATTTTCTATTTTTTTTTGAAAAAGCTGTGATGCCTTCTTTCAAACTTCTGGAGTTACACACATATGTCGCATATATAATATCAACGGACGAGACTTTAAAACATTCGTACAATTTTGTTACAATGCGGCAACAAATCTAGTACCCATAGTACAAGCGTTGCTTAGTTTGGGACTAGAGAATGTTGTGTAGAAATGTGTCTTAAAATATTTATTTACTATTTTTTTGAAAAAGCTGTGATGCCTTCTTTCAAACTTCTGGAGTTACACACATATGTCGCATATATAATATCAACGAACGAGACTTTAAAACATTCGTACAATTTTGTTACAATGCGGCAACAAATCCCATAGCATTTTTAATCGTATTTAATTATTGATATATTTACCATCTACAATTTTACCGTTGTAGACAGAAAATAAATTGCCTCGCGTCAAATTACTAAGAACAAATTAGTTTTGGCAAAGGTAATACAAATTAAGATCACTTAATTACGTGTATATAATAATAAAGATATGCCCTTTCCATAAAACGTTTTATGTGTTAGCAAAATTAGGTTAATGGAAAACCAGACCATTTCGTCTTATATTTCGCCAAGACTAATCTCTACAAGGGCATGTCGTACGTTAGTGACGCGATGCGTGTTCTCTTAATTGGGTCACATTCATGTATCTTAATTGATGGCGGAATGCGAAATTAGTACTGATTTATTATTAAGGTCGATATTAATGTACAACGAACGTAATAAATGAGTCCAATGATCGATGAAGGCATTTTCTAGATCCTATGCTTGTTAATGGAAAAAAAAATGTTTAGCGGGGCTTGTATTCCAAATCGTGGGGATTTTATTTAAATAATGTTTTTAAAATGTATTGGATACAGCTATATTTCCCTACCTTTAATTTTATCTTATAGTTCTATTGAAGTGTACTGTATTGACTTTTAAAAAATGTCTACAATATCTATTTATACATATTAATTCGTGCCGCAAAAAATTTGAACCCATTTTTAAGGAAATAGGGACAGAGGTGTCTGAAATTTCCCACACTTATATATTTTTTTTAAATTATACCTAAAAAAAATTAAATTAAAAAACATTACTTACACTACCATGTATAATTAATTATGGTCGAATTTCGACCACTGGGCGACCACTATTATAAATTAATACTTATAAAAGTAGAATATTTTAAAATTGATAGATTTAGTATATATAATTTTGTAATTTGTAATTTTGCTTATTCATATGATGAAATCGAGTTAGAACGACCGTTAAGTCAATTTGATTTTAATAGGTCTCATCCCTTAATGGATTCAGCGGTCAGACACGAGGGCGACACCCCCGCTTTCTACAAGCGAGACTTGGTGCTCACCACTTTAGTCGTGGACAAACAATTCGTCGACATGCTGGGCGACGACATCACCTACACCGTCTTTTACGCCGGCACTAGTAAGTAGAGTTGGACAAAATATATCTCTTTACATACATCTCTTTTTATATTGGTGATATATATTACTCTTTTATATCAGTAGCTCACTGATCATATATTAGATTTTTTGAAATTGTGTCAATTTGAATCTGTACTCAAAAGTAATGAAATGCGATATAATCTTATGCTGAAATTAAATTTACATCCTACGTAAAATAAGTTTTTTTAAGATTATGCCGAAATTTTTGCCGTTTAAAAAAAATACTATGTATTGTTCATATCTTTCTTTCTATCGAATAGGTAGGTACGCAGTTTTATATCTATCTCCGAGCTACTGAGTTGAAAAGTGCGTGCGTTGACAATTGTTAATTTGTTCAGTGACGTACGGATTAAAGGGATATTTTTTTTTTTTTTTTTTATGTGAAAAGTTGTCAAACGAGCAGACGGTTCACCTGATGTTAAGTGAATACCGCCGCCCATGGACAACACCCGAGGGTTACAGATGCGTTGACAACCTTTTCAAAATTGGGCTCCGGCTACCTCACTCACCAGACGAAACGCGAAAGTATTTGTCATACTTCCACTTTACGCTGGTCTTCTGTGAGGTCGTGGTACTTACCCGGACGGGCCTGCCCATTCGTGCAACATCCGAGGCTGCTGCGTGGCCCTACCACCGTGATGATTGATATATCTATACAAAGATATAAAAATATAGATTAAAATGTGATCGATGGATGTATTAGGTCCAATTATATCTTTTCTATCACTTACTCGTGAGGTACACAACCCTACTAGTAACTAAATCGAGACTATACATCCTATATTTAAAACTTATAACTAAAAGTTACAACCGAGTTACATGCATAAAGACCGGCTCGTTTCGAAATCAGCTTTAACGCAAGCCAAATATGTTCAGTACAAGCATGCGTTAAACTTTACTCAACTAAAGAGCTTCTAAATGTTGACTCAGCGGGAATTCCTATCCCTTTAGAAAAGAGCGGCAATGCAAAGTGTTGTTTATGTCCTTGTTTATGTAAGCGACTTAATTCCTCCCAACATTCTAACATAGGATCTCAGTTCTTTTTCAATTTCTATCTTAATAGTTACTATCATCGTTCATAATACGCATATTAAACAACATTTTAAATAAAACCGCTTCACCACCAATTTTTATTTCTTAATGTGAAAAGTTGGCTAGCGAGCACGGCAATATTACAGATTCGTTGGCATCTTTTAAAGACAAAAAGCGGTTAATAATACTACAGAACTATTTCACGCTGATCTCCATTGCCTCACGCAATGGTATTTTCCGGAAGGAATTTTTTTTTCGTGGGAAATATCCTTTATGGATCCCCTGACTCTGGATCGGGGAAGTGGCAGGGGTATGTGGCAGTCCCGTAAAATACGGGTACCCACTAAAAAACCCACGTTGCACCTGTCTCTGTCGCATCGGCCTGACACGGGAAAACTTGGACGCAATCTTTCGCGACTTCCCGGACGGACCTGCCCATTAGTGTGTCAGAAGCTGTTGCGTGGCCCTACCTCAGGTGGGACTGAAATAGCAGTCCGTGCACCAGCCAGTCCGTGATAAAAACCGTATGTGGGCCATAAAAAAGTTCGCTGTTGCACGAATGGGCAGGTCCATCCGTCGAAGTACCACGGCCTCACAGTAGACCGTCGTGAAGTTGAAGTGTTTTGCTTCTGCGTTTCGTCTGGTTAGTGAGGTAGCCGGTGCCTTGTCATCTTCTTTCTGAAAAAAGCTTCGGAAGCTTGGTCGCTTAAAAGGAGACACTTGCGAAGGTAGCGGCGAGGTGTACAAGATAGTGCAGTGGGCCGGCGGCGGGTCCAGGGTGGCGGACGTGTGGAGGGCGGCGGGCACGGAGGCGGTGCGCGCCCTAGCGCTGTCGCGCCGCACGCACGCCCTCTACCTCGCCACGGACAACCGCCTCCGACAGCTACCGCTGAGGGCCTGCACGCACCGGTGAGCTTGAACGACCGCTCCCCATTGTTTTCCCTCGTAACCCTATTACTTCGATGCGTAACGAAACGATGGGCGCGTTACTCTATGTCCGAGGTCAGCGAACGATTCAATTTCGAACCCCCTTTGACATATTACACAATACAAAATAAGGTATTATATTTACGTTAATTAGCCTGTTTTGGTGTGTTGGAATGAAATGAATAATTTATTTATTTAATAAACACCAACATAATTTACGGTATTATGAGATGATACTTAATTATAGGCGCTGATAGTATGCAATTTAATGATCGCTCATTACAACATACAAAATTAAAAACTATGTTTTTCTATTATTGATATGTTACGCATACGGTATTCATTTTATAAAAAAATTATAGAACCCACGCAACATTAAATTGTTTGGTATTCAAAATCGTAGATATGATAGCTGTGTGCGCTGCGTCTTAGACCCATATTGTGGTTGGGACAAGGAGGCTGGTTTATGCCGACCATATACCCCCGGCTTGCTTCACGACGCTACCAATTCGACGCCGTCAATCTGCGAGGCCAGTGCACCACAGAGAACGGTACGGGCGGGTTATGGGCAAAGCGTCCACATGGCAGCATTTGGGAAAACCCCGGAAGCGCTAAAAGACCAGAACGTTGTGTGGTACCATCATTCTAGAGAAAAAGGCCGCTACAAAATCAACTACAAGTGAGTTAACGTTAAGTCTATATTAAAGGAGATTTTAGTTTAAATTTAACGTTGTTTAAAATGTTACAAATCTTCCGTCTTCTTTCTCCTGCAAGTGTATTGCATCGAGGTGGGGTCGGCATAACATGTGAATCATGCCGTTAGTGGTATTTCAGAGTTTTTTTACGATTGGCCGCCTGCTTGATATCAACCATCCTTGAGACCAAACACTTAGAGTCGGAATAATTATCTATGGGTGACAAAAATATTTGCGGGAAAATCCTTGGGCAATCGAATTCATGACCCCGACGCCAATAGCTTCGCACCACCAAAAAATCGTGTTCTGAAAAATAAATAGTCTATTCAAGTAACTTTCAATTTGTTTAATAATGTCGATTAAAATTAGGCATACAGTGATTTTAGCCTTTTTATAACTTTATTTCTAGTTGGGAGCGAATACTACAGACCTCGGAGCGGGGTTTAGTATTATTGTCAGTAACAGAGTCGGATCGTGGTCGCTATGAATGCTATTTTGGACCCACGCTTATCGCATCATATAATCTTGATATTGATACACAAAGGTAAAAATATTTAGATTATTTTGCAACTACTAGTGGTAGTCTTGCATGCTTATATTATTCGTACTTATTAAGTAGTAAACAGTAAATGTCTTAAAAAGATAACTATCGTCGTAACTTTATTACAGGAATAATATGCTGTAAAAGTTTGCGAGTTCGTCTCTTATCGAAGCGCAAATTTGTAGACATTCATTAAGTTTTGTTTACCTGCAGTACAAAACGTCTTGTACGAGACTTTCTTGTTCTCACGTACAACTTTAACGACTTCTCCGCTCGTTAGCAGGAGAGCTATCGATAAGTTGTAATTTGAAAAATAAAATAACGTAACATTTATATCAGAGTAAAAAGACTGTTCTTGTATTGGTTAAAATAAAAATAAGTGCAAAAACTGAGTGTGCGATATTATTAAATTGTTTCAGGTGCACTCAGCCAAGCAGATCCCAGGACTATAAACAAGTGTATTCGGATTGGTGTCACGAATTTGAGAAATATAAGAGCGCTATGAAGGCTTGGGAGTCGAGGCAAATGGTGAGTTAAATGAAATAAGGGAAGCTACTTGAGAATAAAAACGATGGAAAGACAGGCAGTCTCTTCTAATATAAATTAATCATGCTTTAATAAAACATTTGATTTTTCTTCTTTATTTACACGATTAGTAGTAGATTATTTATTTAAATTTTGACCTATTGATACGAAATCAAATTTGGCAATTTATTCACGGCTGCGTTAAAAAGCCTAAAATTACTTTGATGAAAAAAGCAGTAGCATTGCTCGGTGAAACTAGTTAATTTATCCGTTCAATTTTGTTTGATAGTTTCGAGGATTATTTATGTACACGAAGCGTATATTACAGCAATGCTCCAAAAACCTGAACTCGTCGAGCCAGCAGAACAACATGGACAACGAGATAGTGGCTACGTTGCGGTGATAGGACACCGTTGTTTAGTTATTAATGAACAATTGCACCGAGCCGACACGTGAACTGTCCGACATTTTATTGATTACTCATTTCAACTATTCAATCTAGCAAATTTTAATTTGAATCTTATATATTCTTTTATAAATTTCGCTTTTATCCCTATTTTATTTAGAATCATTTACTTTGATGTCGTTAAATTATTCTAAATTGATTGAGATGAAATTGCCAGAAGCTGTCTAAAAAGGAAATATAATCCAGTAACAGATAACTTGCTTGATATCTTGATTGTCCTCGTTTTTGAGATATTTGATTGATGACAGGCTTTATTTAACCGGGAACGGGAATGTTTTGTTTGAGAATCGGGTATTTTTCTCATTTCTCTAAGTAACTTTGAAATGTCGAACGGCTTACATTGCAGAAAATAATTTGTTCTTAAAAAAAAACTGTTGTTGATAATTTCGACTGAATAACATTTTGAAACCGTTATGTTCCCTGATTATAGTACCATTGAGTTGTTGAATGGTTAAAAAGATAAATGTCTCCGTGATGAAGTTATTTGTAAATATTACAATAAGTACAGACGGTGATAATTCGAGAAATACAAAATGCTGTGATATCAGTTCAAGTTCGATATTTGGTTGGTAAAGAAAATCGCAATAAAAAAATTGTCCATGGTGTTGACTACTGTAACAAAAAGGTGTTGCTTCGAATTATTATATTATGGCTAGTACGGCGTTGAACATCCAATATTGCGCATCTAAACAGTGATTGATAGAGTACTTATGTAAAGAAGTGACAATACCATGAAAGTAAATAAGAAATATTAAAATGTTTATAATTTATTCTGTTTAAGTCATTACAAGATGAAGGGTAATGCTTATACTAGCCTTAATATGCCCAAATAAATGTTCATATACCTACATAGCTTAGGAGATATGTAATGCATCGTATTTAATTTATGTTTAGGTTCTTTATAAAAGACCAATAAGTAACTACGTATATCTCTATACGTTTATATTAAGAAATAATTTAACTGTTATTTTTGCATTTTTTAAAATTGTTAATAATTGTAATGAATAAAAGCAATATGAACGCCAATATTGATATGCTTAGACTGTAATTACCGGCACTTTATATTCTTATTCCATAAACATTTAATTTAAAGTGTTTATGTAACAACTGCATTTATTTCGAATACATTACAGTTACATTATTTTAACGTTGCGTGTAGAATGTTGTTTCAAGTTACAAAATAACTTCGTATAAAATGGCTTAAGTTTCAAAAACTTGGTTATTGATTTATTGTTTGGAAATGCATTTTCGGATTTATAAACCGAATTTAATAAACGTTGTTTCCACTGTTTTCGGTTAAGTTTAAATAGATAATCTCGCTAGAATAGTGCCTTGGGAAGCATGCTTAGTTAAATATAGAGTCTAAATAAAACATTTATCGATATGATTATTGGATAGAATGTAAAAAGTTACTAATTAATTTGATTGAGATAAAGCAATAACCTTCCATAACAGTAATGAAATGCCAGTATTAAAATAATTCGCAAGCCATAATAGTGTTCTTGTATTATATAAAAATGAGAAGTAAGAAATGTAGTTCGCTTCAATTTCCCATAATATTGTTATTAAGATAGGTATAGACTGATGTAAGGAATTGGCTTTTTAATCTATTGTCCGTGCTCCAATATAAGAACCTACTACTATTTTTTTTAATACAAATGAATCTTATATAACTTTCTTGTTTCTTGTACCACAAATAAGACAATTATTGTAAAGATATATTAAAAAGATGAATTTGAGTAGAGAGATCGCTATTAAAATATGTAGGTATTTGCATTGTAAAAATATTATTAAGTTTAGATAGTAAGCAATTGTTTTATAAAAGGAACAGAAGAAATAAATTATTTTAGGATTAAGTCTGCTTTCATTACTGCAATCCCTTCAATTAGTGCGGAAGCTAAGATATCAGCAAATAAAAGGTTGACTATATTGTTCAACATTTTGATACTTAAATATTTCAATTTTTTATGAACATAGTTTAAAAAGTATTAAAACCTTTAGAGAGAAAATGGAACTTAAATTTCTGGATTTAAACGTTAGATTTAAAATGGAAACATCATCATCGTGTCATCGTCTGCATTATTCAAATTCAAGTTATCGAGTACATTCCGTTTGGTTTTACGGAGCACTTATAAAAGAAATTCGCTCTAAAGTTCGCTCATTACTAAGCTTCTATTCGTATTTTTACGGGCAATGAAACCGTAATTCGAGTATCGCAAATGGCGTCTGTCTTAGATTGGCGAACATCATAGAATTTAATTACCGGGAGACGGGAATAATTGGCGAGTCGCCTGTAATGGCCGAGCTCTACGGGCAAATTAATAGATTTTCGCTGCGGGCCGCGCTGATTCTGTGAACGGCGAATTCGTTTTGTTATTAATTGCCGCCCTAATATTAGGCCGGCGAACGTTCCGGAGTAATTGAAACGGTCAGATGTAAAGTTGTCTCTGGTTTAATTGGTGCAAATATTGTAATTTGTGCAAATAGTGATGACGATCCGATTGGCGTAGTGGACAGTGAACCCGTCTCTTGCGCCAGATGATGTGGGTTCGGTCCCCAAAAATGTAAAAATATTATGTAATAAACATCATGTTTTTCTAGTAGGAAAATCTGGTAACTGCTGTAAAACGGGTATTTGCTGACCAAAGGATTGACTGGATTTTTATAAAATAATGTACGATTTAAATATTTCTTCAAGGACCAAAACTGGATACTACTTTTGTTTTTTATTCTAAATAAAAATGTGTAAGATTTTGTTAAACAATTTTTTTTTCATTACATTGGACAATTCTGAATGAAAAAATAAGCCTGAGGGCTAAGGCGGGAGCGGAGATCCCGCCTTAGCCCTCAGGGGTATTTTTTCCTTAACCTTCTCACCTAACCTATCCGAGTCGGATTGCTCTGTGTCGGATCTGTGACTTATTAAATAAAAAAAAAAATTAATCTTTGCCCACTTTCTATACTTATCATTTAGGCAGTACTGTGTATTCAGTTTTTGAAGTCAAATTAATAAAATGGCGGACTTTCTTAGTGAACATAACGTTTTAAATATTTTTTTCTCGAAAACTATAAGCGGCCGCCGATTACGTTTATCATAAAGTACCAAACATTTTATAAAAATGAAATATGATGATTATTCTTTGCCCAATAAAATTTTTATTAGGTCGAAAATCACCTGGAAGCTTTTGGAAAAAACCCTGTAATTCTTGATGGGTTAGTTTGCGAGTATAAAAATATGTGACAACAATCGTATCTCTTGATTATATTGACTTTAAACTCTTTTTAGCACCGGGATACGGTAAATTGACAAATATCACAATTAGATACCTCTAAAGACGAAGAGACACAAAGTACTAAAGTCATTTTTAAAAAGATTAAATAAAAATTCAACAAAAATATACAGGTAAAGAAACGGGTACAGTTTCGATCGATCATAGAAAGAATGGACAGGCACGAGTCCAGGATTTATTTCATGTTTGACAGCTAAACCTTGCTAGGAAATAGCGTTGGCTTTCAAGTAACGTTCCGTGAATCATACGAAGATTTAGCATACAATCGAAACAATAAATGTGCTTATTAATAATTGATTATTTATGTAAAAATATTGTGAAATATATATTAACATAATGTAACATTATGTTAGTTTATGTATATTGTGCTTTGTAAAAAATAGAGTTTAAAGATCTTACCACATTTTTATCACAAAAGTTTAGGTTAAGTTAAAAATGTTCTAATTGTGTTACGAAGTTGTTCAAAGTTGTGAGCTGTTAGGTCCATTAAGAAAGTAATTCCACTAATTAAACTTCTTAATCCAAAGAAATCTACGGAAAGTGTTAATGCCTTGGGGCTGTCTTTGAGAATTTACGAGGAATCTTCCAATAAGTTGCAGATTCATGATAATTGCTTGATTGACTTCCCTAGTCGGCTTCTACAGTTAAATCAGTTTTTAATGAGTTCCATTTTCTATTATAGATACAGATTTTTGCACACCATAAGCAGAGTTGTTTTCGTATTTTGGAGTAAGAGAGAAGTTCATTTATTTTTTAATATGAGCTTGTAGTGAGTGTTGGTCCACAAGAAGAAAAAGATTTTCTTTTTAAAGATGTGTGAATAAAGCTAATGTAAAACGTTTCTGTCGGGATACGAACTTGCGTCTTGCGGATTATTACATACTTTCATTTTATTGCATTTTCTACAATGCTTGGCGCATATGATTCCAATACAGTATTCGCACATTCTTCAATTGTATTTTACAATGAATATTTGGAAAGAAGGTATGAAAAAATAATTATTATTATTATTCATATAGAAATAAATGATTTTTTTAAATCATGTTACAACAGGAACTGCTGCGTGGTAGTATTATCTTATATATAAAAATGGATTGCTGTTCGTTAGTTTCGCTAAAACTCGAAAACGACTGAACCGATTTGGCTAATTTTGGTTTTGAAATATTCGTGGCAGTCCAGGGAAGGTTTAAACTAAGAAAATCTAAATAGCAAAAATTTTATTTTCCCAATTCCAAACTGTACCTCCTGTCAACCTGTCAAACTATTTTTGAACGCGTTCCGATTCCTCTAGATTCTAGAAATAATTTATATGGCGAAACAACGTTTGCCGAGTCAGCTAGTTTAACATAATTGTCGTTTCATTAATTGCTTAACATAAATATATGCTTAACATTATCATATTCATATATACAATTCATAACGTGTTACTTTAGGGTTCCGTACCAAAAGGTTAAAGCGGGAATCTATTACTAAGACTTCACTGTCTATATGTCCGTCTGCCACCAGTCTGTATCTCATGAACCGTAATAGTTAGACAGTTAAAATTTTCACAGATGATGTATTTCCGTTGCCGCAAAGTAACAAATACTAAAAAAACCGAATAAAAATTATTTAAGTGGGGACTCCCATACAGCAATCATGATA